CCCCCCCCCCTCCTCCTCCCCCTCTCCCCTGCCTGCCTGCCTGCCTGCCTGCCTGCCTGCCCTGTGCGCCCCTCTTGTGCAGGTTCCACGACATGGCCGTGCAGGCTAACCGCGCCGCCTTGGCCGGCCCCTTCGCCGGTGTCTTCGTTCATGCCTTCTCCTGGCTGGCGTCCTTCGTCCTGCCGATTGGCTCCTCCTCTCCCTATTCACACACGCCGGTGGTGGCCCGGGCCGATGGCGGGGCGGATGCCTGCCTGTCCACCGTCCCGGAGGGGGTTCGGCAGAAGCTCCTCCGGGCGCAGGCCGCCCTGGCGGCGGGGGATTTCTCGGCCGCCGTGCGCCTGGTTCGCAGCCTGGCCCATGCGTCCTTCCCCAACCAGGGTCCGGCCGAGGAGCCGGCGGAGAACGCGGAGCCGGCCATCGACCCGGTGACCGGTCTGCCGGAGTCCACGGGCAACTACCCGCCTGGCTGGTCGTCGCGCATCGCGGCCGACTGGCTCCGCCGCGCGGAGCTCTTCGCCTCGGTGGAGGTGGCCCTGCGCGCCATTGAGGCCGATGCCCAGATCGAGTATCTCCTCGCCACGGCGGTGGTGGTTCCGCCGGCCGAGGCCCTGGTCCAGTAGCAGGGACAGGGCACATGCGCAGAAGGGGGTGTGTCCCCTTCCGGCGGACTGGCCGGGGCAGGATGCTCCCGCCGCCCTGCGCCTGGTGGTTCCCATGTCCTCCTGGTGCCGTCTGCTGCGCTTTGCCTTTCCTCCCCCGTCCGGTGCGCGTGCGTCATGGTGGCGCATGCTGGCCCTAGATTCGCCGCACAATCCCCCCTCCCCGGGTGACGTTGCCTTCGTGCCATGGCCGCGCAAGCGCCGCTCCCGCCGCCGCCGCCGCCATCACTACCGGCTGTTCCTGACCTGGCCTCCCTGCGCTGCGGGCGGGAGGCCGGCTGAGAATCAGCCAGGCCGGGGGAGGGGGGGGAGCGCGCACAACCAGGGACAGGGGGCTCCCGTCCGCCCTCTCTCCCTCTCTCTCCCTCCCGCCATATGTTCATATTACAATACATACTCCTCTACACACACAGACACACAGGCGTACGGACGCGCGCCGCTCATACGGGGGCAGATGCGGAGCCAGGGACGGGGCGCGCCCCTGCCCAGGCGGCCCCGTTGGCAGGTCCCCCACGTGCCAGGAGCATTCCAGGCACATTGCCGGCTGGGCGGACGGCGGGTGCGCGGGCGCACGCAAGGGGCGCGCACCACTGGCGGTGGCGCGAAAAACGGCCCGTCCGTCCCCACGCCCCGTCTGGGGGGAGGGACCCGGGGGACGGGGGAACCGGCTGGGGGTGCTCTGGGCCCACCATCCTCGACATCGGTGGCGGCGGCGGCGGTGGTAGGGCGGGCGACAAGGCAACGATCTGGGCATGCGGGGCGAATCGCTAGGGAGGGGGGCCACCTCCCCCCCCCCCCCGGGAGGGGGCCGTTGTCTCCACGGTCTCGCCCCTCGCGCAGGACCGGAGCCGCCGGATCGGGCGGCCTCTTTCCGGGACCATGCCGTTGGGTGCCGTGCCAAAGCCCCAGGCACCTTTTCTTTTCTCTTTGTCCCCCCCCCCCCCTGCTGCTGCCTTCGGCTTTCCTTTTGCCCTGCCGGGCCCCC